TTGGTGCATCTTTTGAATCTTTAGTATAAAGTTTGTGAAGACACAAAGTAGAGTAAAGTCAAGAAAGTAGAGCTAGTTGGTGTTTCTTTGGACTACTTTTGCAATGAGCCGTACATAATGCTCTTCCATTGTGTAGTTGTGATCATTATGAAGTATATGATCTTTGGATCAAAATCATCGCGTTATAGTGCATCTGTTTTAATGGGCGAAAAGAATGTTGAAAGGTACAGAAAAATATTTAAGATATAAGGACAAACGTTACGACATTTTCGTAACGTCTATCAGTAATTCTTTGTACGGATTTGAACAGATGCACTGTAACACGCATGAGATGATTTTAATCCCATAACCTTTCATATGAATGTGTCGCAAATTTGCTATTTCTAGTTTATTTATTTATTTATTTATTTATTACAAGTCATCTGATCTTTTATAATATTTAACTGTGTTAATTTTGGTCCTGCTCAGTGTCTTTGTATATTAGTTCCCTTATCTTACCCAAGCATGTACTCCATATAAGTTCTCTCTCAACATGACCATACCATGTAAGTTTATTGTGTATGTATGTCACTTTTATTTATTTTTTTTTTCATATTTTAATTACTCTTTCCGTTCCGAAATAAATGTCGCCTATATTTCGGAACGAAAAGAGTAATTAAAATATGAGCTCAAATACCAAAGGTAACATTTATTTTGGGACGAAAGAAGAAGTATTTTTATCTCTTCTATTCACCCCTACCCTGCATTATTTACCTTAATATCCTCATTTTTACTGTATTAACAAATTTTCAGGCCATGATGTTGGCACAAAGCTCAATATATTTGAATATATTTCTGTTCAATAACTGACATTTTTCAAAGATGGAATCATTCGAAAAATAAATAAATTTGATATTTCTACAAAATCTTTTGTCCCAAAGTGTGTATTTGTGCTGCGACGGACACTAATTATTTTTGTAATTTTATAAAAAATCTCATGCACCAATTTGTCCGAATAAGAATTTAAACTCTCAACATTCGTTTTTGAGAGATAGGATCTAGACTACATTTTACAAAGTTGTGATCGCATGCTCTCTTTATGTATAAAATATAATTTTTGTACATATCTACAGTTTCTTTAAAATACATAAATTCAAATTTTGTGTCATTTTTTTAGCTACTCGATGCGTCACAATTGTGGCTAGCCACGTCAACAAAAGGGGGCTAATGTGGCTAGCTAGAATATGTGGTTAGCCCAACAGCTAGGTTAGTCACTTTTTATTATATATATATATATATAAATATATGCAAAAATTTTAAAAATATATTTATTCAATTATTTGTTTGTTTGTTTATATTTTCTTCAACAACTATCTTTTCAACCACTCATATTTTGAAGACTCTATAATTTTTTTTCATGAATTTTTTAAAAACAAATTTAAATGAACATAAATACGAAGACATTAGATGTTTTCTCACGAGTAATTAAATAAAAAGATATTACATATTTTTATAACAATTAAGTAAATAAAATAAATGATTAATTTCACCGATACTCCTTTAAATTTAACCGAATATCACCTTCAAATATTTTTTGAAAATATCGAACAAACGTATTACAAACTTTTGTTTTGTTTTTTATTCACATCCCAACCGTTTCTTGCACAGCTCTAACAAAATGTAAAATGACTTAAATATTTTTTAACTTTGTCAAAATAACTCTTTAACTTAAATAATTAGATATAAAGAGTAATATATCCTTAAATATTTTATAAATTTACAAATCATATTATATAATATTATATATATATATATATATATATTATATCTATGTTATCCTTTTGTTGAATTCGTGTATTGATAGGTTTGCGGGTGCGATGGTGATAGGTGGATTTAATAACAAGGGCACAGTGATCGTTTAAAAATAATAATCACTAATCAGAATACTTTTACCTTCCATCCACATATCTTAAATGTGTTAAAATATCCAACACTACTATGGCAGCTTTAGAGAAGGACCTGTACTTCCTGAATTAGGATACATAATTTTGAACCAAATAAAGCTGTTGTATTTTGTTTTTGTAACCGGTGGGAATGCAAATTTATTTTTCCAATAAAGTAAGATTTTGAGTGGCCAAAGAACTTTGCCAGCCAAACCGGCCCTGTAGCGGTTGGGCGAAGGTAAGAATCGAATTATTACGGTGCATAATTATTCCCGTTTATCAAAGATTTGATTGGTCAGGACTAGTACTATGGTCTAGTATGGGAGGCAGCAGGCATCAGAGAATCAAGGAATCATATAAAAAGCTCATGATTGAGTATCAACCCTTGATAGGAGAGAGACAAGATGGAATATCCACGTGGCAGAATCAGAACCACTTGGTTATACTGATCCCGTCGTACCATTTTTAGTCATAGTAAATAGCCTACTGAAACCCTGAGATGGAGGGCGGCGAGGTAAAATATGCATAGACTCTACATCTCTGTGTTTGTGTATAGACTGCTCGGCTGCGCAGACTTTTTTTGATGCAGCGTGTAGACCTCTGTCAGTGTGCTAGTCAAACCACCATCTCTCCTCTCTATACTCTCCATCGTATAGGCATGCTCGTTGCCACGTGTCAATAAGTATCAATGTCGTTCCTTTGCTAGTCCGCTGTCAACTAGCAAAACCTATTCCTCCAGTGACTGAATCATCAAACTTAACCATGGTTTCGCTGTAAAAACACCAAATCAGAGAACCTAGGAAAACACCATAATTACCTTCTTACCCTCCATTTCGAGTCCATTCCATTGCATCCTTCCGTGAGTAGGGATGGCTATAGGAAGGGGTGGAGCGAAAATTTCATTCGGCATTCTTATTTTCGGCCGATGTTTTACCCCCCATTCTTGCCCCCATACATGTTTTAAATTTCAACCTCCTACTTCGTTTCTGCCTCGCATAATTTTTTTAAAATTTCAATTCATCTTAAACAAAATGAACACAATTATAATATTTTTTAACCTAATAATTTAATAAAGTTTCAGCACAATTATAACAATTTAAAATATATCATTTTAACTCGATCAAACTTATAACAAAATCACAAATCACATATAACATTTTTTAGAATAGTTTGAAAATTTTCAACATGATCAATCAAAACAAATAGCATTCTTCCAACAACGACTATACTGCGAGAGAATTATAGGATTTCAGAAATGAATATATTATATACATAATTATATAATTTAGTAATATTTTATAACATGTAAGAACAGTTTTGTAAAAATATATTATAAACGGGGTGGGGAGGTGTGGGGTTACCCTCCCCCAGCCCCGCCCCGTCCCCTGCGGGGGTTTCAAATACAATTCCCATTTCCTCCCCTCATTTACATAAATGGGTTCCCAAACCCGTCATAACAGGGACGGGGTGAGACTGGGACCCGTCGGGTATGGAGACTTTGCTATCCTTATCCGTGAGGCTGTCAAACACTTTAGTAAAATGAATGAAAAACATATACATTTTATTTAGTTATTAATATTATTATCATTATTTTTGTAAGTAGTCTTCCTCCTCTTCCTTAAAAAAAAAAAAAACGCGTAGACGGAAAGGTCTTCTCAATGTCTAACGGAATAATTGTTTTTAGAAATTTTGAAAAAGTGAATTATTTTTATAGAATTAAACAAAACATCGATTGTACAGTTCACTTTAGAAATCAAACAATAGAAGGAAATTATAAAAAAAAAAAATGAAGCAAAAGCATTAGTTTACGGACAATAAGGCAAGGAATGAGATAATGATGGACCCACCATTCATATGCCCCACAGGGTAAAATGGGTTAGTCCAATGGAATCAATTCCTAATTCCTTTTGTCTATCTATTAATCTATGTTAATTAGGATGTTTTTGTTAGTACCATACTTTTTATTCCTCTGTTTTAAAATTTTTTAAATGTTTGAAAATTCTACTTTTTATTGGAGTGAATTTTTAATACTACTTTTCATGTCTAAGTAATGACCCACCATTCATATGCCCCACAGGGTAAAATGGGTTAGTCCAATGGAATCAATTCCTAATTCCTTTTGTCTATCTATTAATCTATGTTAATTAGGATGTTTTTGTTAGTACCATACTTTTTATTCCTCTGTTTTAAAATTTTTTAAATGTATGAAAATTCTACTTTTTATTGGAGTGAATTTTTAATACTACTTTTCATGTCTAAGTAATGTATAATCGCCCGCCAAAACAACCCAACACTCACAAGATCACTGCAATCAGCATAGTGTGATTGATCCGATTCCAATTCAACCCGGAACTAATTGTCCTAATGGTCTTCAAATTTTTTATTCCTGACAGAAACCCATATATCAAAGTTGATTCGAAAGAAAATGCTGTCCCCGGCTCAATGGTCCCACCTCCCCGGTCAAGTCATTCCAAATTAATCCAGTGTTCGCCAAATCGATGTGTTCCCACCAAAAATGACACAGACCGATTTTGTTACCACCTAATTTACAGGACACATTCACATATGAGCCGACAGATTTTGAACCAAGCTGGCCATTTTTTGACTAACAGCCCAGTCATAAATTGGCCTAAAAACTTTAAAACATTATATACTTGCCTTTAAGTTAGTACCCAGCCAACTTTTAGAAATTTGAAATTTCATTTTTTTTTCATGGACTTTATTTATTTAATAATTTTGTAAAAAGTATAATTATTATTATTATTTTTTTAATAACCAACCGGCTGATGGCCTAACGGTACAATACTCCTACTTTTCAAAAGAAAATCAAGAATTCGAACCTCAGTAGAGATAATGTGTGTGAGCCTCAACTAGAAAAAATAAAAAAAAAACATAAATAAATAAATTTTTTTAATAAAAAAAAATATTGACTCAAACTCATGAATATGTTACCGCGACCCGAAGCTAAGCCTAAATTTTACCCTAACCACGGTATGGTTAAAACCAGGGTCAAAGTTGAGCCATCTTCTATTTAAACCCTCTCAGGCCCATTATTTTCCTCACTCTGCTCCATCTCTCTCTCTGCTGTTTCTACTCATTTGAGTTTCTTCTTATTTCTTTCTTTGCACACCTTTCCAAAAATGTCATCTGAATGCTACTCTCTGCTTATTCCTCAAACTGGGTACTCCTCGGTTCTCAGTTTCCAGCTCTTTATCTGTGTTTTTCTCTTTGTTGCTGTGTTTGCTTTCTGGCTCGCACCTGGTGGCCTAGCTTGGGCTCTGTCCAAGGCTGGAATCAGAGGCCAGCCTAGAACCTCCATTCCTGGACCCTCTGGTCTTCCTCTTCTAGGTCTTCTCTTAGCCTTCACTGGCTCTCTGACTCACAGAGTCCTAGCCAAACTCTCTCAGAACTTCAAGGCCTTACGGTTAATGGCGTTCTCTATTGGGTTCACTCGTTTCATCATTTCAAGCCACCCGGAGACGGCCAAAGACATTCTCAACAGCTCGGCTTTCGCTGATAGGCCTGTGAAGGAGTCGGCCTACGAGCTTCTCTTCCACAGAGCTATGGGTTTTGCTCCGTTTGGAGAGTACTGGAGGAACCTGAGGAGAATATCGGCGACCCATTTGTTCAGTCCCAAGAGAATCGCTTGTTTTGGGGAGTTTCGGGGAGAGATTGGGCTCAAAATGGTTGGTGAAATCATGGAGTTGATGGAGAGAAATGGGGACGTTGAGGTCAAGAAGGTGTTGCATTTTGGGTCTCTGAACAATGTGATGATGAGTGTGTTTGGAAGGTCTTATGAGTTTGGTGAGAATGGCGGTGGTGGTGGGTTTGAGCTTGAGGGTTTGGTGAGTGAAGGGTATGAACTGCTTGGTGTTTTCAACTGGAGTGACCATTTTCCTCTTCTGGGTTGGTTTGATTTGCAGGGAGTGAGAAAGAGATGCAGAGATTTGGTTGCTAAGGTGAGTGTTTTTGTTGGGAAGATCATACAAGAGCATAGGATGAAGAGGGTTGAAAATGGATGTGGCCTTGATGAGAGTTCTGGCGATTTCGTTGATGTCTTGCTTGATCTGGAGAAAGAGAACAGGCTCACTGATTCTGATATGATTGCTGTACTATGGGTATTCTCTCTTATCCTATCCATATACTGAAAAATTCCAAGTTATATATATATATATATATATATAGTTTGTGTAGTATTTAATTTCTATATATATTTATCAATAAACCTAGCGTTGTTATCTTTTTATGGGTTCATTGCATTTATTTGTACATCTCTATATGATAATTTGTTATGTTCTATTGTGTCGGTTACAATTTCATAGTTCTGCTGCTATTCACGTACAGTGCTTTTTTTTTTTTTTAGGGAGTGAATGCTTTTTTGCAAGCTGATATTTTTATTTTGTTTTATATTATTTTTATTATTATTATTATTTATCTGATACAGCTATGTAGATGCTTGAAATGGATGTGTTCTCTCTTTATGGGTATTCAAAGACAAAATCTGATTTTTTTTCTTTCCTTTTTATTTGGTCATACCTGATAGACTAAGACTGATATTTTCTGGTTCTTTCTTGTCTTGTTCTTATGCTGCTTTATTTTCTTTTTTGTCATACATAAATATTATTGTACCCGGCCAGTACGCACATCTGTTCTTATCGATATGGATATATAGTCTTCGTAGAACTTTATTCTTCCCTAGATAATATCATTTGTGCATGTTATGTGTAATTAATTAACTACTACTATTCATTTCATTTTAGGAAATGATCTTCAGGGGAACTGATACAGTGGCAATACTCCTAGAGTGGATACTTGCAAGAATGGTTTCACACCCTGAAATCCAAGCCAAGGCCCAATCTGAAATCGACACTGTTGTCGGAGCCTCCCGGAAAGTGTCCGATTCCGACCTCCCTCACCTTCCCTATCTCAATGCCATAGTGAAAGAAACCCTGAGAATGCACCCGCCAGGCCCATTACTGTCCTGGGCTCGGCTAGCCATCCACGACACCCATGTCGGTGAGCACTTCATTCCGGCCGGCACCACTGCAATGGTGAACATGTGGGCCATTTCTCACGACGAGCGGGTGTGGTCGGAGCCAAACGAGTTCAAACCGGAGAGGTTCATGGAGGAGGAGGTCCCCATTATGGGGTCTGACCTGAGGTTGGCTCCTTTCGGGTCTGGGAGGAGGGTCTGTCCCGGTAAAGCCATGGGGCTAGCAACTGTCCAGCTTTGGTTAGCCCAGTTGCTTCAGAACTTGAAATGGGTTGCTTCTGATAATGGTGTGGACTTGTCTGAGTGCCTCAAACTCTCCATGGAAATGAAGCATCCCTTGGTCTGCAAAGCTGTTGCTAGGGGTTCTTGAAAGTGCTTGGTAGGTGTTTGGTGTATTGGCGGAATGGTGGTGTTGCAATTTGATCTCCATGATTTTGGTACCTTCACATGGGAGATCTCACCTGCTTTATTTAGTAGTAGCGTTGTTTAATTACTAGTAGGTTGTTTTAGGTATTAGTCAGTGAAGTATTAATATTTTGGTAAGAAAGTAAAAACTTTGGTGATGTTGTAGTTGGTTAGACCGTGTTTGGTGTAAGGGTTGACAACTTGTTCTTTCCTGCAGTCTCGGAAGTTTAATGCACTATAATTAGCTTTTGTTGGACATTCCTAGCATATAATATATTTTCCAAAGTTGCTGTTGTTAATTTGTACGCCTATGTGGTATTTGATCTTGGTGGTTTTATATTTCGCTGCGTTTTAGTCCTAATTAATGTCATCTGTATATGGAGGGGCTCTCTTAGTTCCTATGCAATTCGTCTTCTGCATTTTTCAAATAGTGAAGTTTTTGTTTGAATCAAATTGTCAACGTTCTTCAGACGACCATTGACGTGATACCGACACCAGATTATGAATTAAGTCTCGACTCAAATTTAAATTATTGAGTAATATTTCGCATTCACCTATCTATATTCCTTCAATCTTTCATTTAAATCCATCTATTTATACTCTCCTTTCTACCTCCATTTAAATAGGATGCGTGACAAGTTTCATTTATAATAATAAGCCAAAGTGCTGAAAAAAACAAAAAAAGAGTACAGACCACAAAATATGTATAAGAAATCTTGTTAACATAGTTTTGATTCTCCACTAACATATTATTTGATTAGACCTAACTCCAATGCGCACCTTTCTTTATCTTCAGACTTACTGTCCACTGAAACAAAAGTTAATTCCATGATAATCCTTAATTTTATATACAGATCGAAATAAGTGATAAGAGGAAAAAAGACAACAATCTCACTCTTTACCGACATTAATACCACTTAATAAAGCACTAAAAATTTCTTTCTTCTTTGGATCAAAGTGAACCGGGAAGTCCATTTATTTATTTATTGAGACATACTTTTAGTTAACTTGCATAATTTTATTTTAAAATATTTTAATTTTGTAGAGAATTATTCGAATATGAGCAATTTGATTGGTGGGCTTGTACACGTTTTCACACTAAAAACGTGCAACTTTATAAAAAATTTATAACAGTTATTTTAAGGTGCCACAGCGATCGCAAATCACCTGCTGTGCGATTTCATGCTGTTTTTTATAGTGAGCGATAAGTGGCCTTGGTTTGGTCACGTTTTACTCCACTTAATAGACAGTAAGACTGTGTTTGACAATTACATCACTATTTATAAATAACATTTCACCACCATTTATAACTAAATCACATAACTCACTGTACATAAAAAATGTGATCCGTGCCACAACATGCTTTGCTAGAAAAAAGGAAAAAATGGAAACGACTTCGTTATTCAGGGGCAGAAAAGTAATTTCAATCTATAAGCAATCCCTATTTAGTTGCCTTCTCACGCTCCTCGTCTCCTCACTCTGCTAGCCACTTCGGCACTTCCTACTACAAACACTCTCTTTCTCGCTCCTCCGTTGTTCTCCCTTCCGTTAGAATTCCGCACTGGTTGCATCCATTTCTGAACTACCCTCTTTCTCTCTGTAAAACAGCCCAAAATGTCATCCGAATTTTATTATCTCTGCATTCCTCAAACAGGGTATTCCTCCTCGGTACTCAGTTTCGAGCTGTTTCTCTGTGTTCTCCTCTTTGTTGCTTCGTTTGCTTTCTGGTTATCACCTGGTGGACTCGCTTGGGCTCTCTCCAAGGTTGGAATCAGAGGCCAGCCTAAAACATCCATTCCAGGACCCTCTGGTCTTCCTCTTCTAGGTCTGGTCTTCGCTTTCACTGGCTCATTGACTCACAGAGTCCTCGCAAAGCTCGCTCAGAGTTTTAAGGCCGTGCCGTTAATGGCGTTCTCGATTGGGTTCACCCGTTTCATCATTTCAAGCGAACCCGAGACCGCCAGAGACATTCTCTACAGCTCGGCTTTCGCCGATCGACCCATTAAAGAGTCTGCCTACGAGCTTCTCTTCCACAGAGCAATGGGTTTCGCTCCATATGGTGTGTATTGGAGGAATTTGAGGAGAATTTCTGCGACCCATATGTTCAGTCCCAAGAGAATCGGCTGTTTTGGGGAGTTTCGGCAAACGATTGGGATCAAAATGGTTAGTGAAATCATGGATTTGATGGAGAGAAATGGAGAGATTGATGTAAAGAGAGTTTTGCATTTTGGGTCTCTGAACAATGTGATGATGAGTGTGTTCGGAAGGTGTTACGAGTTTGGTGGTGTTGGGGATGGGTGTGAACTGGAGGGTTTAGTGAGCGAAGGGTATGAATTGCTTGGTATTTTCAACTGGAGTGACCATTTTCCTATTCTGGGCTGGTTGGATTTGCAGGGAGTGAGAAAGAGATGCAAAGATTTGGTTGCTAAGGTGAATGTTTTTGTTGGGAAGATCATAGAAGAGCATAGGATGAAGAGGGTTGAAAATGGTTGTGGTGTTGATGAGAGCTCTGCTGATTTTGTTGATGTCTTGCTTGATTTAGAAATGGAGAACATACTCAATGACTCTGACATGGTTGCAGTTCTTTGGGTAATTTTTTTTATTACCCTTTCTTGTCAACCTTTAATTTTTAGTTTGTGAATTGTGTTGCTTTTATTGTGCTTATGATGATGATTTAATATTTGCCTCAGTTCCTTCAAACAGATTTCAATGACTCTAAAAATATATAGAGTAACAATTTTCAGACAATACAATAGATATTCTCCTAAATTATGCATTCTTTTTACCTCAGTGAGAATTTCAAATAAATGAATTTTCAAATGTTTACTATTTTTTAGTTTTCCAACTATTTTGAGAAAACAAAACCATGAAAACTGATGTTAGAAAACAGAACTTGTGTATTTCTATACTTCGTTCCTTTCCTTATCATTATTAGAATTATTTTTACGTTACTTTATGGGATTCTATGAATTTTTTAGATTGCTGCTGATCATCTTTAAATCTATTTTGCTTTTTTGTGTTACCATTGTACCTGAGACTGTTGTAACCAGATGCTTGAATTGAATCTGTTCTGTTCTCTTTATCTGGGTTCCAAAGATATAGAGAATCTGAATTTTTTCTCTCTTTTTTTTTGTTTGATGATGAGGCTGATATTTTCTTATCCTTTCTCATTTTGTTCGTGATGCTTTTACTGTGATACTTTTACTGTTCTCTACATTTATATCATAAATAAAATTCTGAGTTCTTAAAGGCCTGTTTTCAGAAATTAAGCGATTATCTTCCCTATATATATGTATATTTATTTATTAATACTACATGTTTTATCATCAAATATACAAATGTACTGTGGGTGAATGGAGGTTTCTGTATTTTTGCAGGAAATGATCTTTAGGGGGACTGATACAGTGGTAATACTCCTAGAGTGGATACTTGCAAGAATGGTTTTACATCCTGGAATCCAAGCCAAAGCCCAATCTGAAATTGACACTGTGGTTGGAACCTCCCGACCAGTATCCGATTCCGACCTACCTCACCTTCCCTATCTCAGTGCCATAGTGAAGGAAACACTGCGAATGCACCCACCAGGACCATTACTGTCCTGGGCTCGGCTCGCCATCCACGACACCCATGTCGGCCAGCACTTCATTCCGGCTGGCACCACTGCTATGGTAAACATGTGGGCCATTGCTCACGACGAGCAGGTGTGGTCGGAGCCAAATGAGTTCAAACCAGAGAGGTTCATGGAGGAGGAGGTTCCCATTATGGGGTCTGATCTCAGGTTGGCTCCTTTCGGCGCTGGGAGGAGGGTCTGTCCCGGTAAAGCCATGGGGCTAGCAACTGTTCAGCTTTGGTTAGCCCAGTTGCTTCGGAACTTGAAATGGGTTGCTTCTGATAATGGTGTGGACTTGTCTGAGTGCCTCAAACTCTCCATGGAGATGAAGCACCCCTTGGTTTGCAAAGCTGTTGCTAGGGTTCCTGGAAAGTTTGAATAGTGGGGTTTCTGCGTTTTGGAAATTTTACATGGGGTGGTCACATATGCTATCTATTGAAGTATTTGCTGTTTTAGGTTGTCGAAGTAGTGGTGATATTGGCGACAAAGTCTTTGGTGATTTTGTTTAATGAACTGGTTTGGTTTTGGTCTGACTGGAGGATTAAGATTCATGTTTTTGCACAGATATGGAAGTTTTATGCATTGTACTCACCTTTTGTTTTCCTTATATAAATAAAGCAATAGCAGCTTGTATGCTCATTTTTGTCTTGATATTGTTTATTTTGCGAAGCCCGACTGAAGTTTTCATTATGTTATCAATTTATGATTATTGAACTCCCTAACATTATTCGCATTTAGTTACAATCATCACAGGTGTTTTGCAACGATGGAGACATAATCAAGTTGAAAAATGATAAGATAAAATAATGTTTTTGAACAAAATAGCAGATGTAAAAACTTTATATTGATTGATTATTTTTTCTTTTATTATATTTTAAGCAAGATTTTTATAAAAATTGAAGAGAAAATTGATCTATCTTAAATAAAACAATTACAAAAAAAAGAAAAGAAAAAGAAAAAGAAGGAAGTTGGTCAGTTGCAATAAGAAAGTTACATGTTTAAAAGGAAAAACAATCTCTTTTCATGTAACATGAAATAAAGTCTAGCATGTTTTAATTGTTCTTATGATTCTGTAATGATGAGAGTCTAGTAGTCTGCGTTGCCCTTGTTTTCCAGGGCCCAAACTTGGAATCAAATTGTTCTGATGGAGGCATGGAATTGAATAAGAACTTTGTCTTGAAAAATCCAAAATTTAAATAGTGGCATGCAAGTTGATCTTTAGCTTACTTTTCCATCGCCTCCAGAGATTCTGAGATAATCCCTTCTTTGTTTTGAGCAGGGGGACCTATCATGAAGGGTTCTTCCTCTTCACTCTTAAGTTGCAAGTTGCTTGTGCTAGCTAGAATGGTACTTTTTGGACCTATCCAACGTGAAAGAGGTGGGATTCACCACTCTTGTGAGTGATTCAGTTAGAGTAGCAGCTCGGAAAACACTACTCTTATGATAATAGTAATCAAAGAATATAGTGACAAAAATATTACTCCCTCCATCTCAAAATATCTTAGATATTGCGACTCGTATTTATTTTGGGGGCGGAGGTAGTAATTACTAGACTTGTGATACAAACGACAACTCTCGACACAATGAAACTCTTGCATGCGTGATGTGTTAGACTGTGTTTGGTGGAAGGGTTGACAACTTGTATTTTCCTGCAGTCTCGGAAATT